TTTTTTAATTAATAATTGGATATTTAGAACTTTTCTGCAGCTCAGTGATCATAACTTCCACCTCTGGCCCCAGCTCTAGCTACATGAACAAAATCTCCTCAACCTGAGTGTTTTTTTGTGTGTTTTTTTTAAAACTCTGAATTGTACTTTGATGCTCAAGTGGCTCAAGTGGTGCAGTCTTGCTTTACTAACTGCCCGTTGCAGACTTAGTAAAGGTCATTCGTGCTTTCATTTCCTCCAGACTTGTACTACATTTTACTCTGGTATCAGCAGGAGAAGCCTTCAAATACTGCATTCATGATTGAAAATACGGCAATTAAAATACACCAAGTGAAGCGACCACACTGTCCCAATCTACCTGCCCTTCACTGGTTACTGGTGAGTTTTAGAAATCATTTTAGAATTTGATTTGGTTTTAAAGCCCAGAATAGTCATGCTTCTGCTTCGATCTATAATCTGCCTATAAGACTTATTACTACCTGAGATCCTCCAGCAGATAGAATAAAACTTAACGATTCTTGTAGAAGATGTTGCTCAGACAAAAAATTACAAAAACATGAAAATAAAACAAGGGTAGTAAATATAAAGTGCACAAGGAGTATGAGCTGAGCTAGCAGTGCCTAACAGAACAGCAATAGATATGATAAACTCAATAAAAATAAGTAAGATAACATAAAACTGGAAGTAATACAGGCAATGACACCAAAGTCATAAAGTAATATTGCACATAGTAATGAAGTATTGCACGTAATGCAGCCTCAAGGGGGCACAAGCGAGTGTCCTCCTTGTGCCAGTACCAAGCCCAGACAAATGCAGAGGCTTGTGTCGGGAAGGGCATCAAACATGCGAACCAGTCCCACAACTTCTATACCAGATGGTCAAGGCCCGGGTAAACAACAACCGCCATCAGTGCTGCTGACCTACAGGGTGCCGGTGTAAATTGGGCTACTGTTGGTTGAAGAAGCAGAGGAGGAAGGCTTGTTCATAGGCAGAGAGAAGGAAGAGGAAAGTCAAGCGTCTAGGACTGAGAGTAGGGACTTTGAATGTTGGGACTATGACATGAAAAGCCAGAGAGTTGGTTGACGTGACGCAGAGGAGGAAGGTGGATATACTGTGTGTGCAGGAGACCAAGTGAAAAGGTAGCAAGACTAAAAGTTTAGGAGCAGGGTTCAAGCTGTTTTATCATGGCATGGATAGGAAGAGAAATGGAGTTGGAGTTATCTTGAAGAAGGACTTTGTTAGGGATGTTCTGGAGTGTCAGATGGAGTGATAGAGTCTGAAGCTAGAAATTCAAGGAGTGACATTCAATGTTGTTAGTGGTAATGGCCCACAAGGTAGGATGTGAACTAGAAGAGAAGGAGAAATTCTGAAGGGAGGTTTGATGAAGTGATGCAGAGTATCCCCAGAAGTGATAGAGTGGTGATTGGTGCCGACGTCAGTGGACATGTTGGTGCAGGTGACAAGGACGTGATGGGCATGTTCTGTATCCAGGATAGGAACGCAGAAGGACAGATGGTGGTAGACTGTGCAAAAAGGGTGTCATAGGGTGACTTATAGGAGCGAAGATTGGAGCACACAGGCAGAGTACATCTTGTATAGATGGTGTAATCTGAAGGAGATCGGTGATAGCAAAGTAGTGGTACATGAGAGTGTAGCCAGACAGCATAGGATGGTGGTGTGTAGGATGACTCTAGTGGTGAGTAAGAGGAAGAGGGCAAAGGCAGAGCACAGGACGAAATGGTGAAAGCTGAAAAAGGAAGGATGTTGTGTGGTTTTCAGGAAGGAGTTGAGACAGGCTCTGCTTGGTCAGTAGGTGCATCCAGATGACTGGACAACTACAGCCAATGTGATCAGGGAGACAAGTAGGAGAGTGCTTGGTGTGTCATCTGGGAGGAACGTAGATAAGTCAAGGTCAAGTCAAAGTTACTTTATTGTCAGTTCTGCAGAGAGGGCAGAGAGTTCAGCCTGGTGGATAAAGCTGTCCGTAAGTCTCTGCTGGTCCTGGCCCTCAGACTCCACAGTCTCCTCCTGATGGCAGCAGACTGAAGAGCTTGTGGGTAGAATCACCCTCTATGCAGATGGCTGGTCCAGGAGAGATCCTCTGAGACGTGCACACCCAGAAACTTAGTGCTGCTCACCCTCTCCACAGCCGCACCGTTGATGTTTAGAGGAGCATGCTGGGTGTGCTCTCCTCTGATAAGAAGACTTTGTGGTGGAATGACTAAGTGCCGGTGTGTATACAGAGATAGAGGTTAGCTAAGAAGAAGTGGGACACTGAGAGGACTGAGGAGTACAGGGAGATGCAGAGTAAAGTGAAAGTAGAGGTGGCAAAGGCCAAACAAAGGGTGCACGATGACCTGTATGCTAGGTTGGACAGCAAGGTTGGAGAGACTGATTCATATAGGTTGGCGAGGGAAGGACGAGCAGCAGGTTAGCGTGATTAAGGATAGAGATGGAAATGTATTGACAGAAGTGTGATAGGAAGATGGAAAGAGTACCTTAAAGAGTTGATGAATGAGGAAAATGAGAGAGAATGAAGAGTAGAACAGGTGGACCAGGAAGTAGCAAATATTAGCAAGGAGGAAGTAAGGAAGGCATTCAAAGTGACAGAGAATGGAAAGGCAGTTGGTCTTGATGATATACTTGTGGAGGAATGGAAAAGTTTTAGGGGAGGTGGCAGTAGAGTTTCAGACGAGGCTGTTCAACAAGATCTTAGAGAGTGAGAAGATGCCTGAGAACTGGAGGAGAAGTGAAGATCAGACCTTTCTTGTCTGAACATGCAGCATAACTCCTGGTACAAGCTCTCATAATATCACACATTGACTACTGCAACTCCTTAATGACAGGCCTCCTTGCATCCATGGTCAAACCGCTGCAGATGATCCAGGATGCAGCGGCATGCCTGGTTTCCAACCAGCCAAAAACAGAAGATGTCATCCCGCTGTTCAGATCGCTTCAATGGCTTCCAGTTGCTGCAAACATCAAATTCAAAACACTGACACTTGCTTATAAAATATTGCAACACCTGTTTATATTGCAAATAATTTCAAGCTAATATTATTGTGAGTTTTTCACTTATTGTCTGTGAAGCTCATAATCACAAACAGTTGTCTGAGAATCGTGATTGTTACCTGAATGTAGTGGTGTCTCCACCAAGGCTGCAGCCCGAACAAAGCAGGCAGAAGGAAACAGCATCCCCACCGCTGGCAGGATGTCAGCTCCACAGGACAAGCAGCTCCAGACACAATGTGAGTGCTCTGGTGAAGACACTACACTGCATCAGAATCTGTGCTGAGACACTTCAAGCTGTTACACTCACGTTTTTGCACACACAGGCCTTTCAGTGCAGCCTCATGGGTGGGTGATGCCAGCTGGTAGGTGGTGATGGATGGAGGCAACGTGCTGCAAGATCAGCCCAACATGAGCAGCTCTGCCCCTGCTGCAAGAGTTGAAAGGAGGTGCAGTGCCATCTGTTGCTAATGCCTTCTGCTGGAGAGGGATTTGGGAGGAAACACTGATGAGCTGTGATTAGCTTTTCTTAATTGATTTAATTTATTTATCATGGGAAGCACACACGAGCAGATATGACATCGACATGACACACCAACACTGGGCATCACATCTGTCGGCACTGTTGGTTTTCTAATGAATTTCTAGCTAAAAGGTCAGAGGCAGCGGAAATGTTGCATCACAAATTCATAACTAAAGTCCGGTAAAAAAGGAAGTGGAATCAGACGTCTCATTCCTCCCACTTGCCCCATAAAGGATTGTAGAATCCAGTAATGTAATAACAGCATTTTTTAAGAATGTAATAGGCCAATAACATAATAAAAGTCCTGAACTGATAACGCAATATCTTTTGGTCAATAATGTAATAAGTTATTACGTTATTGGCCTGGTAAAAAAATAAAAAATAAAAAAAATAATTGCAAATGTAATGACCAGCCAAGTACGTCATAAGTTATTATTCTATTGCCCTATTACATTTAAAAAATGGCAAATTTATTACGTTATCGGCCGTTATTACATTATTGGCTTCCACAAGGGTTAAAAGCTCTACCTGAGTGATGAAGGTCTTCAAATGGAGTTGTCTGCCCTAGTAGGGACGCTTCAAGGACACGAGTTCTGTCCAACCAGAACTCGGAGAGGCAGAATAAGACCAGAACACACAGATACGCCATCATGGCCAACAATTCCTGCTTTTTGCCACATTGTGACCGACACAGGAAAATCTCTGAACAGCAGCCATGATGTAAATTCCCTACAGCAGATTCCTCCCCGACTGTCCAGGACTAGAGCTCACCCAGTCTCGGCTACACAAACCTAAAGTCAACCTTCCTCCTCCTTTTATTAGGATCCTTGGCCCTCTTCAGCACATTACCACCTCCCGCCCACCCTCGTCCCGGTCCATAGAAACAGTCCACAACATGTAGATGCATCACAGTGGTTGTGGTAATATTTCTGAGCTGACAGACCTTGAACAAAGACTTACAAACAGGGGAACACAACAAGACATAGACACGTTTCTCACACTGTGGATATATGGGTGATGCAAGAGCAGCTTCTTGCCAATTGTGTGAAGCTTGGTGTGATAGAAATATTGTGCTGGCCTACAATTAAATGTACTAAAACACATTTGCTTCTTCAAAAGGTAACTGTCCGCAACAAAGCACATACTCTTAATATATATGTATATAAATGTAGATACACTAAAATAAATTGGATTCTCAGCTGTAGCTCTACTTAAATGCATACATAGAACATGTTATTTGGCAGGCAGGATATGATTTTCAGGCCTCCAACCACGATGCTATGCAAATTCCCATTGTTATCTTAGTAAGCCATCCCAACTGTATCACCTCCAGTTTCATAGCTACTCGATTCGACAAAGAAATTTCTTCTGCATGACTAATTCTCAGAAATTTGATGCCTAATGCCTGCTTAGGCGTACTGTCTCTAGAAGATAAAACACTGTAAATAAAATGAAATGTTAGAACAGATTAGCAGGTACATTTTATTTTCCAGATTGAGTTGTCTGGAACTCACATGGTCATTTGAAACAAACAAAAAACTTCCAGGTTTCACATCAACATCATGTAAAATGTTAAAAGAAATCAGTGGCAATTTTAGAACCTAAATTAAAACAATTTGCTCTGACATACAGTTTCACAACTTTTATTAGCAGATCAAGCCAGATACTCAGCGCTTTTAGTCTGTCTGTTCAGTGCAATGCATTTGTTTTACATTAACAAATAAAAAAGTGCTTAGAAATTCTCAAGGAATGCCACAGAATCCAGTTATTTAATATAAAAACTGATTCTGTCTGAGACAAAATGCTCTGACACAGGTTTTTTTTAAAAAAATAAGTAAATGTAAACAATGTTGTAGGTTACCAGGAGCACATTCTGCAGTCAGTAGTCATGTTTAAAATGAATGATGGCACCACAGAGAGTTGATCCCATACACGAGTGGTCAGCCAATCTATCTGCTTCACGTCATTCTGCTATTCTCCTTACCCACATTTTCTCTCTCACTCCACTATCTCTGTCAAAAAAGGCAAAAAAAAGCCCCAAAAATACACATACCACCATGTAAACAGCTAGAAGTAAGTCAGAGACATTGAGACTTCACGATCATAAAGTTTCTCGGTCTGCTGCTCGTTTCATGGCACGTTTGGAATAGGCTTCATTCTTGCTTTCTGTTTCTCGTCTCCACAGTCCCTGAGGGCCTGTAGCATCCACGGCGGCGTCCATGATCCGATCTGGCACCAACCACTGCAGCAGCAGCAGGAACAGAAAGTCTAACACAGCGAAGAGGGCGAAGATGGAGCCCGCCACGGGACCGCAGTGTGCCCTCAGCCTCTGTAACCGTCTGTCCAGAGGAAGAACCTCCTCTCCAGCCACTCTGTCGTACACCTTAGATGGAAACACACAATGACGAGTGGCTAAAATCAATCCACCATCTATGTCAGAACCATCACTACAAATACATGCATGAGAATTCTCAGAAAGATCGCGTTATCAGGGAAATCAAAAGAACATGTTTACACATTCTTACTCTATCTGATTGTGATCATGGTGATGACGTTCATCCTCTATCCTGCATCTTTTTTTCTAAGCAGACCTTTTACTGACTGTTGGCGCACTTACGGGAAATGTTTTAGAGAGAAAGCACGTGTACAAACACATTGCAAGAGAGATACAAAGACAGATAAGGAATTTCCATTGTCCCTGTTTCGAATTGTTCCTCTAAAAATGATCGGTGACTCAAGAGTTTGACAAGTTGTACAACCTGAATTCTTCCGCCTGTGTCTTAATAATTAATAATGCCACTACAAAATGTCTGGGCCAAGGGTGTATTGTTTGAAAAGTTATGTTAAAGTATGAGGTAACTGCCCACTATGTGCTCCAGTGTAAGTCATTTTTTACTCTAAACAGCATATTTGTGTTTGTTTCCACAATAATCTTTCATTGGTGAAAACATAAAAGCTGAAACAATAATCTACATGCACACTATCATGTAAAAGAGGAAACACAAAGCGTGTTACGGTGTTGTGACACAGAGTAGGCAATTGGGGCAAAGGGCAGGTTTTGGGTGCCCTACTTTTTCCGTCCTCTCTGCAACATTTCTCCAGGTGTAGAGGTTTTGCACACATGCGTGGATGGAGGCAGGGGAGGGGACGGAGCCTGACCGCTGCCGGGCGATGACCGTTTCCAGACCGGCACACAAAGACCGTACAGTGGGTTCGCAGAGAGTTATCAAGTCCTCTGGTAACACCTCGGGAATACCTCCCACACGAGTGCTGACCACCTTGGAGAAAAAGACGAAAAAATAGATGCTCAAACACACATTTATATAAATAAAGTTTTTGCTATTCAAAGGGCTCTTCGTAAACTATTAAAGACCACAAAATGCCTCAAGTCTGTTTCACCTCCACCCACACCCTGCACCACCGCTGGGTGACGTAAAACCAAAAGTAAAACCTGTGTACTGCCACACCTTGAGTACACCTCCATGTCACTACGCCAGGGCATTCCATCAAAAACTTTTACTTACACTATTTTCCAATGACTTGTTCCTCTTCACTGTGACTATTCTGACTAATGGGTTGCACAAACTTTACACTCACTACCACAACTATAAAGATATATAAAGATCAAGGGTCTGGCAAAACAAACATACAGGAGCAAGCAGCACAGGTGTCCTGCAACGTATCATGAAATGTATTTAAAGCACTGCAAATGCTTGTTTTTAAAGTGCAATTTCAGGAGTTTGCATGTTCTCCCCGTGCAGCGTGGGTTCTCTCCAGGTTCTCTGGCTTCCTCCCACACAGTCCAAAAACATATTGAGGTTAATTGGTGGTTCTAAATTGTCCGTAGGTGTGAATGTGAGTGTGCTTGGTTGTCTGTCTCTAAGTGTAGCCCTGTGATAGACTGGTGACCTGTCCAGGGTGTCCCCTGCCTTCACCCTGAGTCAGCTGGGATAGACTCCAGCCCCCCCGCGACCCTAGTGAGGATTAAGCGGTGTATAGATAATGGATGGATGGATGTATTTCAAGGAACTGACAAGGTTCCGTCAGACTGTTGCTTTGGTTGTGTGTTTTTTCACCACAGTAACAATTAGTTAAGCTCGATTTCTCTCCTCCCTCAAACCTCAGAAACATCCCGAGGAGGTGAGACATGAAGGGAGGGAAGTTGACGCAACACGTACTTCATATAATCAGGCATCCTTGCCCCGGAGTTATTGTTTTGAAGAAACATTCTTAAAAATGACTCATGTTAAGTTGCGTTATCTGTTCAATATTTTGTTTCAGCTCACATCTATGTTTTCTCAGGTGAGCAGAACAGTGTTCACGACAACCTACAGTATAATTCACTTTTAATTCAATTTACATCGTGTCTGTGAAGATTTTCAGTCATCCAGGTCATGGTTATTCTGGTAGATTAATCGTAGCAACAGGATTTGCTTGAGTTCCTTGAAGACGTTTCACCTCTAATCCAAGAGGCTTCATCAGTTCTGACTGACTAGTAGGGAGATCCAGATACTTATATCCTAAGGAGCCATTAACAACTGAGTTTCGGTTACAAAGGGGTTCATTAGGGTCTTTTGTGAGGGTCACAAAAGACCCTAACGAACCCCATTGTGGCAGGAGGAGCACTAACGACTCACATAACGAGGGGGAGAAGTGACAACCCCCAATTGACATCATGGCATAATGTGACAAGAATGTACGGATGTCATGCACTTTTAGTTGAAGTCTAAATAAAAAGTGACACAAAAGAGGCGGCTACAATATAATAAAGCGTGAGCTGTAAAAAAAAAAGACTTCCAAGAGGACAGATTTGTGCATCCTCCCTCATAGCTCCTCTGGCAAGTCTCTTCTCTCTTTGAAATGCACTGAAACTGAGATATCCTTCAAGGTGGCATACTTTAGCGGTATTTCTGGGTCACATTCCGGATGAAGAAGGAGATAAGACATGTAGTGGCACAAAATAAAGGAATGAAAAGAGCTTTATTGTATGAAAAGCAACAACTGCTTTTAGGCGTTTTTGCGTGTGACACCGCTATAGTTTATCGTCAGTCCATCTGTTGTATGTAACTCCATGCTGATGTGTTGAAGCACAACGATCAAACAGCAAACTGTATGTGCAGCTGCAGATTTAGAAAAATGGTGGCTGACATAAAATATCAAATGTTCAGCTCTGCAACCCCCAACCATAAGTTTGGAAAAGTATTACACCCCCGGTAGAGACTTTAGAGGGGTAAAATAATTTCAGAGGAAATGAATTTAGACCCTGGTCCCTGCAGTGGAAACATCCTGAGCTGCTACATAGGTTGCTGTAGAAAGTTAATGTGGTGGAAAAGGCTCAAAAATCACAACAGTATCACAAAATAAAGCCTTTTGCAGAGTATTTGGAATAAACATTTCTCACAGTTTACTTTTTCTGTCCTGTGTGCAGCTTTCAATTCTAAGTTTAACTGATATTTACAGTCCCTGATTAGGTTGTTTTCTCTTCCCGCTGATACCCAACCACCACCAACATCGTTGCATGTGAGCTGTGTCAAGGTCTGTTTACCATTTTCCACCACAAGGGTCTCTGTTTACAAGTTTTGCTTTGTCTCACACACTGTCTACAGACGAGGTTATTTTGAATCCCCTATTTTTACAAAAAAGAAAAGGAAAAAAAGAAAAGAGTGCTATGAGATGACACAGGCAGCCACCGACGAGCACACACCCACCGACGAGCACACACCCACAGCAAATCTGTGACAACATTCGGTCAGCATCTTCAGCTGTGTTACGCCAGCTCTGTTTTATAGCTATTTGTGGTACAGTCAAATGATTACTAAACTAAAACAAAGAAGCTCAATATTTAAACCAGAGAAAGGAACAAGAAAGTGTCTATTCATGTATTAACATGACTTTTAGAAAGCCACTGAAACCAAAGGAAATTCAGCTTGCACAATCATTATTCAATAATGCTGTGGGAAAGTATTGTACCTAGTGAGAACAAGACTGTGCAGGCTCTTCCTTCCAGTGAAGAAATCAAAAAGTAGCCTCAAGCAATTATTTACTCTTTTTTTCGTCAAAGTAAATTACCTGGTAGCTCAGTAATTCATCTGCTGCCTGAGATCTTACAGAGCTGATGTCCTACATGGCGAATGATTCTACATCCTTAAACTAATGTAGGAATGAAGCCAAACCTGCAGTCCACAGCTGGCTCCCTCCACGATGGCCATACAGAACGCTTCGGTCAGAGACGTGTTGAGGAAGATGTGACCTTGCACCAAAACGCCATGCACGTCTTTATGCTCCAGAGCCCCCAGCAGACGCACCCTGCAGAAATTCAGTTACAGACGTTACCCACGTAATCAGCACCAGTCAAAGGTTTGGACACAACAGCTCGTCTCCTGGAAGAGCTTTGAATTAACAGGTGTGTCCTATCAAGAGTGAATTTGTGGTGTTACTTGCCTCCTTAATGTGTTTGAGACCATCAGTTGTGAAGTGCAGAGGAAGGGTTAGTACACAGTGGATAGCCCTGTTTGACTACTGTTGTAATCCATAGTATGGCAAGAACCGCTCAGCTCAGTAAAGGGAAACAACAGTCCATCATTACTTTAACACATGAAGGTCAGTTGATTTGGAAAATTTCAAGAACCGAGACTGTATCCTCAAGTGCAGTCGCAAAAACCATCAAATGCTACGACGAAAGTGGCTCTCATGAGGACTGCCCCAGTAAAGGAAGACCAGGAGTTAATTCTGCTGCAGAGGATAAGGTCATTAGAGCTACCAGCCTCAGAAACTGCAAATTAACCTCAGATTAGAGCCCACATATGTTCTTCACAGAGTTCAAGTAGCAGACAAATATCATCATCAACTGTTCAGAAGAGACTGTGAATCAGACCTTCATGGTCGAACTGCTGCAGAGAAGCTACTACTGAGGATGAACAAGAAGAGGAAGAGAACTATTTGGGCTCAGAAGCACAAGGATTGGACATCAGCCTGGTGGAAATCTGTACTTTGGTCTGATGAGTCCACATCTGAGATTGTTGGTTCCAACCGCCTTGTCTTTGTGAGACGCAGAGAAGGTGAGTGGATCGTTTCTGCACATGTGGTTCCCACCGTGAGGCATAGAGGAGGTGGGGTGATGGTGATTTGCTGCTGACACTGTTGGTGATTAAATCAAAATTCAAGGCACACTTAACCAGCATGGCCACCACAGCGTTCTGCAGCGCCTTGCCATCTCATCTGGTTTGCACTTACTGGAAGCATCATTTGTTTTCCAACAACAGTTGTTTTCCAACTTTAGTTCTTTTAGATCTAAGTGCTGCCTTTGATACTGTTGATCATCTTATTTTACTGGAATGTTTGAAACACTGGGTTGGCATTTCTGTTTCTGTTTTAAACTGGTTTTATTCTTATCTGCATGACAGGTCTTTTAGCGTCGCTATTGGCAGCTCACAGTCTTCTTCTATCAAGCTGACCTGCGGGGTTCCCCAGGGGTCGGTCCTTGGACCACTCCTATTCTCCCTTTACATGTTACCCCTGGGACATATCATCTGCAACCATAACCTGAGTTTTCACTCATATGCGGATGATACACAGCTGTACCTGTCTTTTAACCCCAATGATTTTAATCAATTACAATCTCTGAACAGCTGCATCCAGGATCTGAAATGCTGGATGGCTCAAAATTTCCTCCAGCTAAACTTAGACAAAACCGAAGTAATGATTATTGGTCCTGGATCAGCCACAGCAGCAACACACTTTGGTTCGTTATCCTGTAACATAGCTGCAAAATGTAAAAATCTTGTGGTCATCTTTGATGAAAACCTTAACCTGAACCAGCATGTCAGCTCATTTGTGCAGTCTTGTTTTATGTAGCTTAGAAGACTCTCTAAGGTGAGCTCAGTTCTATCCAGGCATAACTTAGAAATTGTCATTCATGCTTTTATCTCATCTCGTTTAGACTACTGTAACTCTCTGTACACTGTTCTTAACCGGCAGAGTCTTCACAAACTACAGCTGGTCCAAAACGCAGCAGCCCGACTCCTCACCAAATCCAAAAAGAGAGATCGCATTACTTCTATTTTAGCTTCCCTTCATTGGCTACCAATTAATTTTAGAATAGATTTTAAGATTTTATTGTTAACCTATAAAGCCCGCTCTGGACTGGCACCTCAATACATTTCTGATCTCCTCATCCCATATGTGCCCGGTCGTAGCCTGTGGTCCTCAGCCAAGGCTCTGCTCACCGTCCCACATTCGAGGCTGAGGACCAAAGGTGACCGGGCCTTTTCTGTAAGAGCCCCCACCCTCTGGAACAGTCTCCCTGAGGAGATCAGATCTGCAAGCACTTTATCCAACTTTAAAACTCTTTTAAAAACATATTTTTACAGATGTGCTTTTACAGGAGTTGTTTTTTGAGTGTACTTTTACTCTGTTTGATGGCAGTATTAAGGGCAGTACATTTTATCTTCTGTTTTATTCCTTTATTGTCTTTTCATTGTCTTCTTTTACTGGGTTTTATTTTTCTTATATATTGTTATATTGTTTTATTGTCTTTCATGCTTTATGTGCTTCACCTTCACCATTTTTTATTTCTGTTTTTTTTATTTTTTTATTTTCACTTCCTTGAATGTTGTTTAATGTTGTTTTCCTTACATTTCTCTTTGAATCTGTACAGCACTTTGTAACCCTGTTTTGAAAAGTGCTATATAAATAAAGTTTATTATTATTATTATTATAACAAGACAATGAGCCCAAACACACCTCCAGGCTACGTAACGGCTATCTGACCAAGAAGGAAAGTGATGGAGTGCTGCGTCAGATGACCTGGCCTCCACAATCACCTCTGGGAAGTCCCTCAAGACTGTTGGAAAACCATCCAGGAGACGAGCTCATGAAGCTGACTGAGAGAATGCTAAGAGTGTGCAAAGCTGTCATCAAAGCAAAAGGGGGCTACTTTAAATGTGTTTCAATCTAAAATATGAAACATATTCTGATGTGTTTAACACTTTCTTGTTTACAACATAATTCCATACGTGTTCTTTCACAGATTTGATGTCTTCAGTATTAATCTACAATGTAGAAAATAACTGAAATAACTAAAAACCATTGAATGAGAACGTGTGTCCAAACTTTTGACTTGTGCTGTACAACACATGCATCTTTTACACAAACCCCTTGTTTGGCCATCAATGTCAAGACAGCTGTCATTTAATACTTCCTGGCAACACAGTTGATGCAGTAACTGAACTGTACTCCCATACACATAACTGCTTACCGACAATTCTTTCCAGATATGGTGTAATTATACCTGTCACCCTGCCACAATAGTGACATATAAGATTGAAAATAAACTTTAGGTTGCGTAATTGTACAATATTCTGTCAAAACTTTGTCACATCACAACATGATATTTTCAGGGACTGTGCGGTGAAAGAGTTCGGTTGCCTCCTTATTGAATAATCTCAGGAAATACCATCATCCAACAGTACCTGTCATGTAGTTGGTATTTCTCTCTCACTTCCTCCAACACAATTCTCTTTGGTCCCTCTCCTCCAATTAGGAAATGTAGATCAGGATGTTTGAGGCAAAGCTCCGGGATGATCCCACCAAGAAGGTCAATTCCTGAGAAGATGACGAGAATGTGAACTCCGACTTTCACAGTAAAACAAAAGCAATTCTCCCACTTCGCCTTAGGAAAGACACTGGATTTTTGAGGCTGATGTGTGTGTAGATATTTGAGTGAATATAATCAGTGGTCATTTTACAGACAAACATGTAACGGAACCAAATATTTTTGAAAATAATCTCTTTAAATTGCATTTATGGGATGCATGCAACATTTTCTATTAAGAAAGTAATCTTGTAGGTGCTGTCTTGTAGAAAAAGAGAAATGGTTTTGGTAATAATTTTATCATCTAATTTTGTATTGTAATTTCATGTTATTGCAGTTATGAGTCAACATGTAAGCTAATACTTTTACATTCCTAGTTATAAAAATGGACTGTTAAATCATCCCAACTTTCTGTCAACCTCTAATCTAAATGGATTATATTTTTGCAACTGGAGTGTGACTGACTTGCGCCAAAAAGAGGGAATGAACTTGATCAGTGTCTTTTTCACCACTGTATCCTTCTGCTACGAGTACAGCAAACAGAATTCTGGAAAAATGATTTCATACAATGTCTGACACAACAACCTCTCTGTACCTTTGCGATAGACGAGGCGGCTGATGACAACAATTGTGATCCTGTCATCTTGGCGCTGGGAGGGATCGGGGGTGAAGTCTGTTGGGTCAACGGCATTGGGAATAACAGACACTATCTCTGGGTTGAGTGCTGCTCGGAGAACCGTGTTCTCTTTACTGGTGTACGACACGCACACAATGTGGTTGGTGTCACACAGCGACACGGTCAGAAGCTTGTTGGTCAGCACAGAGCTGACGTCAGCAAAGCCAAAGAGTGAGTGGTCGGTGAACACCTGTAAACAAAAACGCTCTTTAAGTTTATGTCAAACTAATTATGTGCGGCATAATTGATATAAACACATCAAATTATTGTGGATCACGTACCGTGTTAAGGCCCATCGTCTTAGCGTGGAACAGTGCATCATGGGCCATTGCAGAGAATGAGCTGTGTGCATGCACCACAGTGATTCGCTCCCTGACAAACACACAGCGCAGCAGCGGCAGACTGTGGAAGCAGGTGGTGGCAGTTGACTGGTTGTACATCACCTGCAGGGGCAGGTAGTAGACCTTCAGTCCATTGGTCAGGTACCGGACACCCTTCCTCCGGCCATAGGCATGGGTGGCAATTACCACCTTGTGTCCCTTTTCAATCAGACACTGGGACAGCTGGTAAATGTGACTTTCTACTCCTCCCATGTTTGGGTAGAAAAAGTCCGACACCATGCAGATGTTGTGCTTTCTGTTGGAGACTCTGGTAGCCTCTGCAGGAGCCCCTGAGTGTCTCTGAGATGAAGGGTTTTTCACAGCTGCCACTCTCTTCCTTTGGCCCATTGTACCTCCCTTATGTGGCTGTGCACTCGATCAGTGCTGAAAAAAATGTGTTGACATCTGTTAGTGGATCAGTGGAAATCAAGTAATAACAGCAGCATTTTATCAATCAATTTTCCAAGTAAACATTCTGGATGTTTAGAATTGAAACAATTAGTTGAAAATCTATTAAATAAACACCAACCTGTATGAGTAATTTATTTTAAAAATAATAATAATAATAATTTCCAAATTCTTAGATGTGGCATTATCCTCCTAAATCTATCTTGGACTATAAGACTTTTGGAGATCCATATATTGTAATTACTTACTCATTATTGTGGAAGTCTGGATGAGCCGTAATAAAACAATCACAGTGAAATGAGATTTGTCTTTTGTATTTGTAATAAAGTATAATGAAACATAACAAAGTAAAGAAATTCAGAGTGAATATTTCAACTGAAAGGGCAGAGCTCATACACCAGGTTCCTGTTCAGAGGTCTGACCAGAGAATCAAACAAGGAAATATGAGTTATAGCCTTTGTCTAACAAATATTATAGACTCAGCGAGCTCATAAAGATTACAGACACTCCTTGACCCAGGAATACATATAAAGCAGAGTGCATTCAAAACAAGAGTATGTTAGTATTGAGACCAATGCAAAGATAAATTTACCACAACAAAATTTACTACATTTATTGGTTTAAATATGAGAAATTTATGAAAATTGCTCCTAACTTTTTAATCAAAGCCCAATACGAGTTCCCTTTTCTGTTCAACCAGCAGCCCAGAACTCAAAGATACCAACAGTCCCTGCCGCCTTTTTAACATTAAACATGTGCACTTCAGTGAAACCCAATACAAGTGATGTGCCACAATTTCTACTTTTACAGTAGACAGATTATAATCAGTTTCTTCTAACAATGTCAGAAAGTGTCCATTATTGCGGCCATAGCTGTATTCACGTTATATGTCACTATATCTAATGTTCTTCTCCTCACATTTGTGAATTGGGTGAGCAACAACACTGAAAGGGACAATTTCAATAACTAACACATGACGATCGTCCCTCTGCGTGTCAGAGTCAACAAAAACAAGACATGATTAGGTTTTTAAAGGCAGGATTTATGGCTAAACTGTCATACCGAATTGCATTTTATGTAGTAAAAAGCTTGGATCAGCAGCATTCAGCCTTTTTGGTTGATAAGTGACTCAGATGTTGATTACTAATATAGTGGATAAAAAGTTCTCTTTCCAGTACTATTTGTCTTCAGATTCAGTTTAGTATTCCGACACTGACATAATAGCATGGCATACGTGTATTTTGGCCTGATAGCATTCCAGTCACGGTCATAACTACTGTGATGATATACTTTGGACACTTTGATCTTGCAGACTGTTGTACTGGATAACTACGTTGACCATAATAGCGCATGTGTGATAAGGAACTACTGATGATCGGGTGTTTACAGTTGCTCTCAGAGCTCTTCATACGCCAATAAAACAGACGCTATGCACCATCTGTCTCGTATGTTTTACTGCATCTAAAGTATTTCCTCCCTTGGTGTACGATCCGATAAACTACGGTGACATTATCAAGGTCGCACATCAGCACAAACTAAGGATTTACACACATCATAGACTGGCTGATGTAAACTAGCTATCTCATGTAAGCTACATTTATGCTCTCTGCCGTTGTCCTCTTCATTGTACATTAGTTTCAAGCCCATAAAGGATTAAACCAAACCGATTCAACAGTACAAACTGCCTTACCGTGGACAAAACGTCAATCTTGTTCCACTTTGTGAAAACACACACAAATACCTATTAGCTGTAGATTCATTTCTAGCTGCTAGCGCAAAACTAGCCAGTTAGCCGCTTGTGTTACTTCCTCTACGTCAGACGCGCGATGACGTACCAGCTGACGTTTGCTGTGTGGCCCAATAGTGTCTGCAGGGCCGGAGGCTGCACTCTCAGGGCCCAGTGCCACCTACCTCAATGAATGATGGGCAAAATGCGTGATTTAGTTCTAAGGGGTGATTTCTCTCAAAACATATTTATAATTTAAAAGGTTGATCCAAGGACGATTCCACACAAAGTACTACTTCATGTCCAAGTACGTATAATTTTAAAGTTTTTTCCCCCATCCAAATAGTGCTTTTTAAACAACAAGTTGAGGTTTGACAGGTTTGCTCCAGCCAAAATACTACTAATTACGATAATAATAACTTGGCTGCTAAGACTTGCATTTGGGCAAATGGTGTAATTAACACACTTACTAACAGGTAGAATAATAATGGACTCTACGGCTGTGGCATCTGTGATCTGAACATGTCAAACAGGACAGTTTGACCGGTTGAAAAGAGACAAAACACAAGGACAACTCTGAAGGCAGAATTACATATTTATTTATTCTATATACAATGACATTAAATAAAAATAAAAGCGACAACAAAACACACACACACACACACACACACACACACACACACACACACACATAAAAACAAAACAAAAGTAAATTGGTCTTTTGACTCCCACCACAGAATCTGTGATGCCACTGTCTCCTGGGAGAGACACACAGAGACAGACATTAACAAGCATATGTAGATATAACACTGATATATCTGACAAACTGTACATGGTTCGCTTTTATACCTGGGCAAAACATTTTATTTTTCACATTTCATGCCAATAAGCCCAGTTCTGAAGTAAGCACCACTCACTGACTGAATTGTCTCCCTTCTGTCTTCTGCTCTTTGTCCAGCCCTCTACAAGATTCCTCCACTTCACTGAACCAGTAGACAGACAACATTATCACTGCTGGCTTTACAGAAACATTAGGAACACTTTAAAAAGGTACATTCATTAACACTGGTCCTCCTTAAAATAGGTAATCACAATACTATTAGGAAATAGTTAACAAAGATTTTAGGGCATTGTGTCAATGTAAATAGTACATCGGTTACCCTGACCTTTGATGGCAAACCAGACCACAGCAGTAGACCTGCTCAGCCTCCTGGAAGGACACATCTTCCTGGACAGACAGGCCATATATGAAGGCCTACCAAAAGAAAATGGTTAATTTTGGAACAATATCATTTAAATATATCATTTTACAGCACAACAGTCATGTTAGACAGGTACATGCACAAGTAGCACCATGAAAGGCAGGCTATTTGTTTAGCCTTTAAAAGTGCAGGAGCACAAACATGTATAGATATCAACTTTGTCGGGTGGAACAAAGCTGAGCAACAGGATGGGCAGTGGTAGTTGTCCTAGCATGTGGTGCACTTCTTCAATACGAGGATGGCTCCGGCTGCATTGAATTGTTATGTGTGTCTTCTATTAAAGAGAGAATAGTTGGTCAAATTGAATCTTTTTATATTATTCTGCAAATATAAATAAACATAAATTAGGCCTAGTCCTAGAACTGGACGAAGACATTTAGAATATTCTGTCCTGGGTTTGATCTGTGCAGTGATATAACTTCATACAGTCTGTACAGCAGACAGAGTAGATGTGGTACAGGAGGGCAGAATAATCCTACATCAGCATGAAGGGTTAAAAATGCTCAGTGTCTCAACATGACAACACAATGACATAATATGAAGAATAGCAATTAAAACACATACTGTGGAGGAAAATGTAGTTAGTACTGTTTAACAGCAGGCATGTGGACTAGTCACAGGATGGACGTGTACAGGAAGCTGATGACTGAGCTCCACAAAGTCCTTCTAAACTCTGACAGAAGCAGCAGCATCACAGCTCTGCTAAGAGTCATGAAGCCAGAGTTATCACACCTCTGCTTTCTCTAGTGAGACAAGTTCAGATGGCTGCAGTGAACAACATGACAGTTATAGTTCTAATTATAGTTATAATTAGAATTTGAAACAATGACTATATGAACAAGCATCAACACTGAAGGTTATCGCTGCTTCATGGAGCTGACAGTCATCATTTCAACAGGCTTCTATCATCTGATCAAGTTTCATTAATGCCGTCTGGAGTTAATTATCATCATCTCTGAGCTCTGCTGCCCAAATCTCACTATGACTCAGTTTAACACATAAACAAACAAACTAAACGTTGGTTTTACTGCAGCTTTCAACAGATAAAACGTGACTGTTTGCAGTTTAATGACAACTTAAAACATGTTTTTTTTCTCACAGTTAAGTGAGTTGCCAACAGCTTTGCTGTGCAGATGAAGACAGCAGAAATGTTCATAACGTTAAACGATAAAACGGTATAAACAAACGTTCATTGCTTCACAACGTTAAACTAATAAAACGATTCACAACCAGTACTCATGTTGTGATCGTCCTCTATCACGGTGACAAATGCTGCTGCTTTCTTTAGCATCCAAATCGGCAGGTGACACAAACACCAGTGACCTGTCGATGGGTCCTGAGAGCTCTGAACACACTCATACTACTGCATCTGGGCTACAGCTAAATCATGCAATTTGGCGATCATTCATTGTGGTAGGTGGCGCAGGGCCCTGAGAGTGCGGCCTCCGGCTCTGCAGACACATCCTTCTTGTGTGGCTGGAAATGTAAGTATACAATTAGACCTGTAAGTAAATATTGAATGTAGCGTTAACTCTTAGTGTTTTATTGTAAATCAAATATACTGAGTGGATATGTTACACTGCTTTCTAAGTCTTCCTCAAATATAAATAGCTTTTTGGAGAAAATGTAAAAGTCCTATATTGTGCTCACATGTTCCCAGAATGTTTTATTCAATTCTTAACCCTATTCAGGACTTTTGGGGTCTTTTAGACCCCAGTTCATTTGATTTAGGTGACAGGTATTGTTTTTTTTTGTTTTTTTTTACTTTTGAAGATTTCTTTTAAAAATATAAAAAGAGAGACATTTGTCATGCATTTGGAACCAAAAATACGTCAACTTATCAGAAAAAGTATTTAACATAGTATAAAAGTCTGTAATGAGCACCAACAAGTATTTTGCACATATTCTTTCTTGGGGTCCAATGAACGCAGAAAGACCTTCTGGGTATGGCAACATGAAAGTCCTAAATAGGGTTAAGCTCAAAACACTTCAGTAACAGTTTCATTCACTGTGATTATATAAGCCCTGGTCACATGAAACCATTGTAACCCACACAGTCCTTGTTCATTGGTTTCAAATCTCTTTTACAGCTTTCACCATTTCAGCATTTTTATATTCTCACAGTGTTTATTCTATGCCTCCAAGTTTATATGACAAACACAACTCAATAAAAATGGATTTTTACCATATGAAACTGTTACAAATAGCTATGTTTTGAGCGATCATGTATTCTGAATCTATATTTCTCCACTGAACCTATGAACCTGTTTTTTCCACTGAGCACAATGCATGTCCTTGAATATAACATGGCCGGTTAGAACTGGTTTACAGACTAGGAGACAATTGAAACTCCTCTATTCTATCAGTTAGGACTGTTACTTTAGATACACGCTGTACCAACAACATCCACACATGATGCTTACCACATTTTGAGAACGTGGACAGAGCGTGAATGAGGCATGCCTGTCCATGTCGTTGGTAACTGTCCAATTATACTTAATTGCATACAAGCCCAACCTCTGCTTGGGGCAGACCCAGTCCAAGAAGATAAATGTGAATCATTTCCGGATATCGGGGCTCCTTCTGATAGCACTCTTGCGAGAGCTGTGTCACTCCAAGCTCAGAGCTGCCTCACTTTACCTGTGACCTAAATAAGCTCTACATCTGTGAACTGATGATTTCTCCGATTTGTTTTTGGGCTTCCAACTAAAGAATCGAGGCTAACAAAACCTTTAGCAATTTCTTTGACATGTTAAACATTAACTGCTGATTTTCACTGTATAAAAATGTGAATGTCTTTGTTCTTGTATGTGTGCAGTGAACTGTAATCATGCACATTTACTCAAGTACTCTATGTAGCTACAAATTGAAGATACTTGTACTTGAGTATTTCTGTTTTAAAGTACTTAATACCTATACATCACTACAAATCAGAGGGGAATATTGTATGATGTCTTCATCTACACTTATTTGACAGCATTAGCTTCTAGCTACATTTAAAACTTGGGGAAAGGCCAACGCTGCAGAAAGAAGAGCTCTGCTCCAGGTGGAAATAAGGGACCATGAGGAAGAGCGGAGGAAAGCTAAGGCTGTTGAGTTAGGCTCCCAAGGGGCCTGGACGAAGTGGGATCTTCCCAAGAGGAAAGTGACATGGAACGACCTCTGGAGGTTAGAGCCCTACCGGATATCTTTTTTGCTAAAGGCTGTGCTCTATGACACTCTTCCATCCCCAACAAACCTCCACAGATGGGGCTTGGGGGAGGACCCGCTGTGCAAGCTCTGTAGGCAGAGAGGAACTATGGCCCACATCTTGACAGGATGTAAGGTCATGCAAGGCCATGGCAGATACAGATGGCGCCATGATAAAGTATTGACTGTGTTGGCTGAGATTATGAAGCAGTAAAGAACCAGGAAAAGTCAATACAGGGTCAAGCCATCGCCTGGTATAGTTTTTGTCAAGGAGGGTGCAGAGCTGCCAGGGCCCAATAAAGCAAAGACGAGTCTTCTGCAGACTGCCCAAACCTGGGAACTCAGGGTTGACCTGAAGAGGAGACTTCAGTTCCCAGAATTTGTCCACATAGTCCTTTGACCAGATGCTATGTTATTCTCCACCGGAGGAAAGAAGATCATCCAGGTTGAGTTTACCGTGCCATGGGAGGAGGGATGTGAAGAGGCATTTGAAAGAAAAGCAGAGTGCTACAGTGACTTGGTCCAGGATTGCAGGGACAAAGGGTGGTAGATATGGTTGTACCCTGTCGAGGTAGGGTGCAGAGGATTCCCTGCCCAGTCGGTCTGGAAGTTGCTGACTGCCGTGGGT